GACCTTTGTCTCTATAGATCAATATCCTCCTGGCAAAATTTCCATCTGTCTTCTTTAATTCAATTGTTTCTCAACTTCCTGTCAGGCTACTACTTTCTTCAATTCAAATAGCCTGTAATTTCAATTTTTATATTCAAATTGACGGTATTGTTGCTATGACACTGTTGTCATACCATTCTATCTACTCTTCCATCACTTACACTACATCACAGGAATATGTTGGTTCTCTAATTTTTTTTTACTCATTTTGGAATAAATTATTAGCTCAGCAATTTGTTAGGTTAGTACTATTTGTGTTCTTTACTACAATGTATGTTCAATTTTTTGTTTTAATATTGGGTACAAATTTTTTCTGTAACAACCTTTGTTCATTTACAATTTGTTGTATGAACAATACTGAAGTTGTATATTTTATGTATATCTATGTATGTATGGTTGACCAAAGATTTATTATTGATATATTTGTTTATATAATAGATATATGCAAAATTTGAACATATGTTTGCAATTTTTATAATGCTTCTATGACAATTTATAATGATTTTATCTCTCTTTACTGTATTTATTTTTACAAGAAATAGTTTAAGTTTTTATTCCTAATGCTTTATATGTTAGTGCTGCTTTAAAAGCAAAATTCCATTTTTCCCCTCCGTAGTAGAATTATCATTTTGATACTTGCTTTGTACAGTTCCCCAAGTTAGCCCACATTGCAGCTTTATTGTAGAATGGATAGCGCACCTTTAGCTTCACTAGTTGCGCATGTGGTGGTACATTGGGACCATCAGCTTGGTAGAATTACACCCATGTGCAATGTTGTTTAATTTGCAGCCATACTATTGGCCCATGCTGTGATTCGACACTGGGGGCTTTTACCCTGAATAATTAGGAATAAGGTTGTTGATTCGAGAGACACTTGATGCCGTTTTTTTCTGAGCTCTTTTTGTGTAAAATAAATATTGGTTAGAATTGCTTATCTAGGTTTTCTGGCCACACATCTCTCTTCCAGACATTCCTGTGGCATTCTCCGAATTATTTCTTCCTCCAGTGACATCCATTTTATACATTCACACTATAGCTGTCTTAGTTCAATTTTGGGGTTAGTTTTACAGATGAGTGGTTTTAACAGGTTTCTCCTCAGCAATTGGATTTTTTCAGCTTCAATTTTTAGAGGATCGTTGTTCTGGATACTTCTTTGATCCCCCATAGTTGTGGAGAATTTGTAATGAAAGCACATGGTTGGTTGATAGATTATTTACCAAAGTTGTGATCTCCGCAAGAGAATTGTGTCCAATGAGGGTAATATGCAAATATAACTTGAAAACAGAGCTAAATAACCTATTAGAGAGATTTCATCCAAGCCAACAGGTCTTTAGAATGTTTTTGACAAAGGAGATTCTAAGAGCCAATAAAAAATGTTGTTTTCAAGTTTTATTTGCATATTACAGATCAACACAGATCCTTACTAAACTGTCAACCTGTTTGATCATTCTCTGAACTTTCAACACACCTTTCTTGTTATATATTTACACACCCCTCATATCTTTGCCTTTCAAAATTACTTAATTTAAAAGCAAATAATGAAAAGTTCGTGAAAAATTTGAAATTATCCTTTTTAAATCTATACAATCTTTTTTAATTCCAAATGGAACTTTTTTTTTTTTTTTACATTGAATTTTTCTAAATATTGCACAAAATGTTTTAAGCCAAAGAAAGGCCTAAGGACAAATTTTTGATAATTTTTTAAAATAAATATTTAAGCTAAATATTTTGTTGTGTTATTTCTTCCACAATTATTAAAGGATAAGAGTTATTTGTAAACAATTTTTTATTGACATATCACATTGTTCCAATGGCTAGTGTCTCTCCATGCCTTGATTGTAATAAATTTATCATTGCACATGTTGTCCTGTCCATTGAACACAACACTTATAATTCTGGGGTACATTTGGATCATGGCAACAACAAAATCTAATGTTTAGATTACTTTGTAACCCTGTGATACACAAGACATGGCACATTATTGTTTCCAAACTTTACATATAAATTACCTATTTGTATTACCTTGTATTTTTATATGCTAATTATATTATATAGAACAGGGGAAATATAGTTGTTATGTAAATGGGGCCCAAGTGAATCAATATGTATTTAAGTACCTTGCCATGTGAGACAGTTACATAGAACAATGAGGTATATACATAGTTGCACATATATATAAGATCAAGTGATAGCCTTTTCAATTTTGAATATTTGCACATAGGAAATAATGTGACATTTACCTGCAATGAATGAGGATTATTCATTTGACCACCAAATTTTACAGAAATGAGTCCTTTAGAAAAATATCTATAAAAATATAATCTAAATAGACGCCATCTATTGACTGTTGCACAAACTAACGGCCTTGGGTCAGTGACACAACAGACAGGAGGTGGCCTTTATATTTAGATATTATTCTCCCAGCAAAATTTTCAATTACCTTCACTGACAAAACTTAGTGGAAAGTCATGATAAGGCACAATTTGGATTATAAACACAAGGTAATAAGACCAAATCCAAATAAATAAATTGTGTGTGACGTTTCGGTAACAGCGTTGTTACCATCTATGGTAAGTTTTTAGTGAAAAGTCTTTGATGTCATTGGTCATCTTTTTTTTTTTTTTAAGGAGACAGAGGCACTTTTATTCACCCTTGGTTATCTTGTGTGTCTTCAATAAAGGTCACTGTAATATATTTCAGAGTTATTGCCCCGATATACATGCTAAAAGGTACAGTTTCCTTAAGTTTTGTCCATGTATGAGTGTATATTAAAATAATTGTCAATATTCTCAAAGTATGTGGGAAAGTATTATATTTAAAATGAGAGGGTATATAAGCATACCTGAGCTAAATACTAAAAAGAAAATAACTCTCTGTACAGAACTTTGTTAAGTTGAGGTGAAGTAGGGCATTGCTGAAAGCTTCATTACATATATACAGGGTATGATCAAAAAGTTCCCACACTGGGGCTTTACCTTTATTTATACAAAATACAAAAAATTGATAGTTTTCAAAATAAGACCCTCCTGCATCATCAATGCACCTTTTTGTCATTTTTTCTTTCAACTTGGAAACTTCCTCTTTCTGTATGCCGCGCAAAACGTTCGAGATTTTTCCTTAATGGCTTGTATCATGTCAAAACCATTGACCTTTAAGTGCCATCTTTAATGTTGACTAAAGGAAAAAATTCATTTGGTGCCAAATCAGGAGAATAGGTGGAGTGTGGAAGCAGAAGGGTGTTATCTTTTGTCAAATAAGCCTATAGAGCCATATGTATGTTATCATAATGTAGATCTTTATTCTGCCATCTTTCCGGGCGTTTCTTTCACACAGACTCCTGTAACATTTTCAAGAGATCAAGATTCTTGGTTAATTGTCATCTCAGTTGGTGTGAATTCAAGACATACGAGTCCTTTGGTGTCGAAGTGACGAGCAGAACCTTCATTTTGATTTTCCCACCCTGGATTTTGGTGTTGGTTGGTCATCTGCAAACCATTGACTTGATTGGCATTTTGTTTCGGGATCATAGACCCATGTACCGTCCCCTGTCATCACATCATGTTGCCACATTAGGTCTCGTCCGACCAACTTGTGTACAGAACGTCTCTCTTTCTGCTTCAGAGTTAACATTGGAGGGACACAAACTTACAAGATCGTTTTTTTAAGGCCCAGATCATCATGGACAATGAAATGACATGTCTCAAATGACATTACAGTTTCTTCGGACACTCATCTGATTGTTATTCTCCGATTTTAAAACACCAGGGCTCTCTTCAATTTCTTTAACATTTTCAGGAGCACTCACCGTTTTTGGTCGTCTACCAAGGGAGTTCGTGCGCGGCCCATCTTTAAACCTTTTAAACCACTCAACTGCTGTTCTTTTAAAAGTCTTCTCCAGATGCTTTTTGCAACAAAGATGTTCACTAGATGATTTACCGTCTGGAAACAGAATTTCAAACGCGTACATTTTAATTTAGCTCTCTGCGCTGCTACTACTGTGGCTTCTAAATAATTGAATTATTTTAAAGAATGCGAGAAAGAGGCGCATGCGCAAACAATTACGTGCACCTGGTGTTGAAATATTTCCCCCTTTTAATAGGCGTGTGTGTGTTATTATTATTATTTTTTTTATTCTACGTTTTTTTTTTTTTTTTTATTGGGGCAGTGCGGAAACTTTTGATCATACCCTGTATAATTTTTAAAAATGTTGTCCTATATCTTTTAGTTCTCTCTCTCTCTTGCATATTAGCTGAAAAGAAATATAACTGTCTTGTACTTGCTTGGTCTGAAGGAACAAAGAATGACAAACCAGGAAAGTTGTCGCCATCAACTCGGATCGCCCAGCGATGTTAGATAAATCAGCAACGTGCGGTAACCAAGTTAATTCATTCCCCCTTAGTAACGCTGCAAAATTTACGGCCGAAAATTGAAGGCTGTTAGGCGGTAATTGAGTTTAGGCTTACGGAGCACTTAGCCAATAATGGGGAGGCCGAATTAATAAACGTAAGCCGCTTAACTTTTACTACCGCTTCAAAAAGAGCAAAAGAAGGGAAACAAAAGCGTTTATTCCTCCTAGGTTCCATGAAACAAGGTCTCGGTTTATTCTGTCATCTCCTTTCGTACGTATTTACATATAGGTCTTGAACAGTGAGAAAGAAGTGGTAAAATATTATTTGCATACGTTTTCTAGGCGCATTTTTGGATTTAGACGAAATTCTTTATCATGATATTTATACACCCTCTCGTCTCTAATCCAATTCTCACCAACTTAGACACAACTGCCGCCGTTGATTGCGGAGATTTGACAAAAGATTTCCTCTGATTGATCAACTTGAGGATATTTCCGGAGTTGTTATCATTGCAGAGTTTGTTCTACTTCAGAGAGATATAAAAGACATAATAAGAGAGAGCAAATAACGAAAAAAGAACCGGCTCAAAAACAAAACTTGATTTGAACTATCGAAATCCGTGGTGTAGCGGGTATCACGTGTGCTTCACACGCGCAAGTCCCCGATTCGATCCTGGGCGGAAACTTTTTTTTTTTTTAATTTGCTAATCTAAAAAATAAATTAATTATATTTTTTCTATTAAAAACATATATATAGTCGATCGTATTATATGATTACAATAAGAACAAATAAAGCTCAAAACAGCGGTAAAAAACTGTCGCCACTTATGGAAAACTTTCGGGGATTCTCTTTAAAAAATAACAACATACCTCGGCTACATGTTTGCCGTGCGAGGATAATTCTATTTACTGCTGAAACTATGACACTTAGAGGTAAGGATAATTTTGTCCTGAAAGTATTTCAATATTTTTATAGCGTTTTTATTTGAGATAGTATTTCATTAAACTGATATATATAATATTATGATGTACTTAGCGCGCCATCTGTTATGAAAATTCGAAACTGTTTTAGGACGCGTAAAATTCTTTTTGAAATTAAACAATTTCTACTGGCCTTACTGCAATGGAATGCCCTCCCATTAATTTTTCCATTGCAGTAAGGACAGTAGAAATTGTTTAATTTCAAAAAGAATCTTAAGCATCTATAATAGTTTCGAATTTTGATATATATAATATTTAGGAATATGTTTGCTTGTTGAATTTGGATTGGGTATTGATTTAGTAAGAATTGAATGTAAGAGCTTCTGCGGAATCTAACAAGCCAACACTTAGCAACAACAGCAGCTCTAGAACAAATTCAATAAACATCAGATTTCAGTGTAACTTAGAGAGAAGCCGCCAATGGAATTGTAAAAGAATACAACAGGGCAGAGTTGCATGGTGTTCGATTATCCAGTATTTGGCGCCGCGGGAAGCTCTCTCGTAATAAAAGGAAGTAAATTAAGGTGGTCGATTCGCGGCAGCCACATTCTCTGTTTGATTTTTTATATTGCCTTATAACGAATATGGGTTTTTTATCGGCGGGAAAGGGGAGATTTATTCTTTGTAATATTCTCTCTCTCGGCTTCCCTCTCTCTCTGTACAAAAAGATGAACAAATGTGTTTTTTTATTTGCCTTACGTATACCCATGAAACATTATTACCTACGAATGTACACAGGGAGAATTCTATAACGAGATTTGTGGCATGGCGCGAGGATAAATGTTTGTCCCACCAATTAATAACACATGTAGAGTTTCATATATAGGCTCGAGTCTCGGTTAAGCCAATAACGTGTTAATTATATGGTTTGGTATGATGTATTCACACACATTATCACAAATACTAAGAATATATATAGACCAATACATTGACTCGAGCGGGGCCAAGCCGTATTGAGACACTTATTATTCTACTTATATAGAAAAACCTGGGATCTGTCCGTTTGTGAAGTCAAGCGTTGTTGTAAAGTGGAATTATAATTCCTTGTTGTAAGGGGAATTAATGTTAGAGGAATGATGTCACTGAAACATTGCACACACTGGGTTGGGGTATGTATGTAAATATTCTTTTGTGTAAAATGAAAGGATTTAAAAGCACGAATGTTTCTTTTATACATAATACAAACTTCTACTGTCCTTACTGCGATGAAAAAATATATTGGGAGGGCTTGGCTCATCAGTGGTGAAAGCCCTCCCAATATATTTTTTCATCGCAGTAAGGACAGTAGAAGTTTGTATTATGTATAAAAGAAACATTCGTGCTTTTAAATCCTTTCATTTTATATGTATAGATGGCGCGTTTATGCTTTGTGTTATTCTTTTGTGTGTGTGTGTGAAAAATATCAAATTTTCGTCATTATTTTTTCAAAGAAAAAATTATAGAGCTCTAAACAGATGGATTAAGAGAGGACGACTACTTTCACGTATTATATTTTTTATCTTTTTTTTTTATCCCAATAGAAGCTAGGTAAAGGCACCAGATCTAATTCGGCCCAATCGCGGACAAATCAGATCCTGAAGGAGTTACACGGCTCTGAATTCAATGATTAACCAATTAATCATCCATTATTGGAGTCGGGAGATAAGAAAACTCAGCAGAGAAGCTCCCCGTTCTGTAGTTGACCCTAATGTTGTTTGGTGTTCCGATTTGTTTTTCCTCTCTCTTTGATAAATTTGGCATTCATTGATTGGTCCCTCGGTAGCCAATCACTACGTGGAATTTCCTTTCAAGTATTCTGTTGTTTTTTTCTTAATTCTACAAACATTCCTGTGTGTAGCTCATTGCAATGTGAGATAAAATGTCTACCTCGGTGTCACAATCTAGAGATCATGTATGGATTATAAGATAAGAAAATTGGACTTCTACTCGGAAACCAAGTCTTAGGAAAAGAAACGAAGCCTTTTCACGAGTGTGACGTAAAGTTGAATGATATATAATACAAATATAATGCGGCTTATGATTGTAAAACGACGTTTGACAAGTTTTAACCGCAAATGTTTCTTTTGAACGAAAAATCGTAATTTATTTTAAGGAGAAATAACGACTATTCTATGGTGAAGAATTCACAATTCATACTTCATCCCTAAGGATAGAAATAATCGTTATTTCTCCTTAAAATAAAATTACGATTTTTCGTTCAAAATAAACATTTGCCGCAAAACTTGTCAAACCTGTTTTGAATGATATATATCTCAGAACTAAAAGTATTCAGAAATACTGGCTGTACACTTCTGACTGAGATGGTGGTAACGCTGGGGTCCGTTACAGCTCGCCATATCTTTAAATGCGCCACAAGGATCTGGTTTCATACGGATGTCCCATATCGTGAGCATTCCTTCGCTACGGTAGGCCTACACTTGCCAATAGTGGAGTATCAAGTTGCAGGTCTGCTCGCCCCCATCAGCCAATCAAAACTAAGGAGGAAGGACCAGAGACAAGGAGGGTGACCTAGAGCGAACTGTAATGGGCGAACGCCCCGGACCTTCCAATTGAACAACATCCATCTCGATGGGCTGACGCCAGGCAATCTAGGCTTGCCGCTGTTATAGCCACCTGTATTCCAGCTCATCACATTAATTAACAATAGATCGGACAGTGGCTTCATAACACTAATTTGTGGCATTTACTTCCAGCCATAGTTAGATTTATAAATATATCTTGTAGCAAATATGTAGATAGATAATACCATGTGCCCACACTTCCATAACTCTGACCTGAGGGAGGGCGGGCTTGACAGACGTGTCGTGGAAGGATTTAAATTATTCCGCTATCCTTCCATATAAACAGCAGGGAGCGGAAGTTATATCACGAATTCCCAACAATGGTAAAACACGTAGATAAGCTGTATTCTCCCTTACAATTAATGCAATGACGTTTGATCAAGGTCTTCTTTTTGGTTTATATAAATTCTACAAGGCCTCAGTCACCGTTCGGAGGAGATTAATCGACGCCGAATGCCGTGGTCCATTTGGACAAGGAAAGCGAAGACTAGAACGCGGCTGATTCCACACTAGCCTGTTCAGTGATTCGCTAACCATGGCGTATGCACGAAGGAATGTGTGGCCACTGGACATACGTCAGACCTGGGGCTGTTGTTGGTGCTGCGCTGCCTGGAGTATAGAGCTCCATCTATTATTTCTTCCTGTGGTGAATCTGTATAAGACCGATGGTCTTTAATAAAGCTTGTGTGTGTATTCTCCCTCACATCCACAAACATGTAGGTGTACCACGGAATAACCTAACGTGTTCAAAGCGGCATTTCTCAGTCAGTTCAGTGTTGTCGATAAAGTGTCAACTTACCCACAGGCTGTCTGGACTTGTCCCCTGACGTCCTCCTACAAACACAAATGTCAGAAACACTGCATAAAACATTTAACTAACTTCTCACACTAAAGGGAATATTTAAGTGAGTTTATTGAACTTGTTCCTCTTGTGTTCCGGGGAGTTTGTCAACAATGGATTCAAATCTAAGCGGTGTCTACATATTTATCTCCCAATTTGGGCACACCACCCCAGAGGTTCCATCTGATTGGCGCGTTTCCCCACTTTATAAAGGGAGGTTTGCCGCCTAGGACCTCTTCTCTCTCTATAATTACGATATATTGGATACAGATATATATTTATATATAGACTAGACGAATGGCCCGGGCAACGCCCGGTTTTACCCGAGTGCGTATATATTTTAAAAACGTTTTAATTCAAATACTATTTGTTACAATTATAAATTGGCGCCATGGATGTCACTCTTGTGAAACGTCCCGTTCCAAACTGTCTGTTTTTAAAATGTTTTAATTAAAATACTATTCGTTACAATTATAAATTGGCGCCGTGGATGTCTCTCTTGTGAAACGTCCCGCCCCAAACTGTGTGTGTCTTGAAAATATAAAAATAAAAATGTGAATTTTCATAAAGATTTCATCATGTCGATTTTTTTTTTGCATTTCACCTACTAAATCGATAGAGATAATTACATTTGCAACATGAACTTATGTATATTGACTAAATAGAAAACTGCATAGTAATAAAGATCATTTTTTAAAGGCACCATATCGTTTTTTTTTTTTCAATAAAATCGAAACAAAAATTAACGATAAATAACGATAATTGCCTTAAAAAATAAACATTCGCGGTGATTTTGTCTTGCATTCGTTTATACAATTATTATATACGAATGACCCGGGCAACCCGATTAAATGCTTTTATTCAAATACTATTCGTTACAATTATAAATTGGCGCCGTGGATGTCATTCTTGTATAATATATAAATGAGTTTTAAAAATTGTAAAAAAAAAAAAAAAAAATGCATCGGCCGGGAATCGAACCCGGGCCGCCCGCGTGGCAGGCGAGCATTCTACCACTGAACCACCGATGGTTATGAAAATTCCCATCCGTGAGCTTCAGACATACAAACAGACAGAATAAGGCAAATATATAAGTAGTACGAATGACCCGGGCAACGCCCGGTTTTACCCGATTAAATGCTTTTATTCAAATAATATTCGTTACAATTATAAATTGGCGCCGTGGATGTCATTCTTGTATAATACAGTAGAACTTGGATAATTCGAACTTCTTTAATTCGAAAACCTCTTTAATTCGAATATTTATCTTGGTCCCTAGAATTTCCTATAAATAGAATTTCCG